AATGTTATCTATCCCCACATGAATATCAACTTTCCCTATTTACATATTACATAGTTGTAAACGTCTTGATAGTTTCCAGTCTCTACCACTAACTAATTGTTATTTTTTTAAGAGTGCCTTGGTTATCCTTGGGCTTTTTAATCTTTCATGTGAATTTCAGAATCATCTTGTTGAATTCTTAAAACATGAATTTTTGGTTTTTGATAGATTTAGAATTTGATAAAAATATTATTGAATCTATATCTCCATTTGAAGGAAGGTGATACTTCCTTATGATACTGAATTTTTCTAACAGTGAATATGGTAGATCTATTAATTTGTCTCATTAGTATTTTCTAATAATTTTATAATTTTCTCCATAAAGGACCTACATATCTATTATTAGTTGTATTCCCAGGTGCTTTTTACTTTTTGTTGCAACTGTAAAAAAATTACATATTCTGTTTGTTAACAAATTTTTAATATTTATCTTACATTCAGTTGTTTGTAAAACTCTCTCCCCAACTCTAATAAATTATATGTACATCATTTTGAGTTTTTCTCTTAAATAATCAGATCACATCAACTATGAAAGAGGACAGTTTGTTTCTATCTTTCCAATTTCCATGCCTTTTGTTTCTCTTTCTTATCTTACTACTCTGGGTAAGATCTCTAGTAAAAGACTGAATAAGAGTATAGCAGAGCAGCATTGTCTTGTTTCTGATTTTAAGGAAAATTCTTTTAAAATTTCAACATTAAAAATGTTAGTTCTAAGTTTCTGGTAGATAACTTTATAAGTTTCAAAAATTCCTCTTTTTATTTTGATGAACATTTTTTCCTTTAATTTTAAAGGGATGTTGAATTTTATACATATTTTTTCAAGTTGAATTTTATACATATTTTTTTCTGCATTATTTCAAATGTGGTCATTTAAAAAAAAACTTTGGTTAATGCAGTATATGGTATTTATGCATATTTAGATAATCCAGGTTAATTACAGAACTGTTCATATGTCAAAATTCTCAAAACCTATTTATTTTTGTTTCTATCACAGTGACCCTAAAATTCAGATTTCAGGGGTGCCTGCATAGCTCAGTCTGTTGAGCATCCAACTCTTGATTTTGGCTCAGGTCATGAAATTGGGGTTGTGGGATTGAGTCCTGCATTGGGCTCCTAAGTTCAGCGGGGAGTCTGTTTCCCTTTCTCTCTCTGCCTGTTTCCTCTGCTCATGCTCTCTAAAATAAAAAATCTTTTAAAAAAATTCAGATTTCAGTATGAAAGGCATGTGAAATGTAATGGGTAAATCAATCATATTTCCCTTTAGTTTACTATAGTTCCTTTAGTAATGTCAGACCATTGTTGCGTTTCTGGGATAAGCTTGAGTTAGTTGTTCTTTGTTCTCTTTATAATTTTGTTCATGAATGAGACTGACTTGTAATTTTCCTCTTACAGTGTTCTTTCAGGTTTGGGGAGTCTTAGATAGGTTGGAATCCTTCATAGAATTCCTCCCCCCCCCCCCCACCCTCCTGACCCGGACTTCCTTATACAATTTGCATAAATTTGGAACACTCTGTTTTGAAAGTTTAGTAGAATTTGTCTATAAAACTTCCAGGTCTTGGCATATCCCTTGTGGAAAAAACTTATTTTCTATTTATATTTATGTAAGATTATAGGGTTTTATTAGTCTGTTGGTAAGTTATCCTTTTCTAGAGATTTGATCACTTGGTCTGTCTTGCTAGTCATCCTACGTTCATAGAAAGTGGATCTACCTGAAGCTCTCTCATGTTCTTGAAAAGCCCTTATGTAGGAACATTTTAGGCCTATTATTTTTTTTTTTCATTTTTTATAAATGACATCTGCTCATATTCTGGTCAGCTAAACAGTTTGCCAACTTGTTAACTCAAGTGCAGTTCTGCTGAGTATCCCCTCAACAAATTTTTCTTTCTTCTTTCTTTTTCTCTTTCTTTCTTTCTTGTGGCAGGAGGCAGTTTGTTGTTTGTTTAGTTATTGTTTTAAAATATTTTATTTACTTTTAAAATTTTTTTAAGATTTTATTTACTTATTTGAGAAAGAGAGAGAGCACAAGCAGGGTGAGAGGCAGAGGGAGAAGCAGACTCCCCAATGAGCAGGAAGCCTGACATGGGACTCAATCACAGGACTCTAGGATCATGACTTGAGCTGAAGCCAGATACCCAACTGACTGAGCCACCCAGGTGCCCCTTAAATATTTTACTTAAATTCTAGTTAGTTAACATATAGTGCAATATTAGTTTCAGGAGTAGAATTCATTGATTCTTCACTTACATACAACAGCCAGTGCTCATCCTAAGTGCCCTCCTTAATACCATCACCCATCTATCCCATCCTCCACCCATCTCCTTCCATCAACCCTCAGTTTGTCTCCACCTTTAAGAGTCTCTTTTATGGTTTGCCTTTCTCTCTTCTTTTCCCCCTCCCATATGTTCATCTGTTTCTTAAATTTCATGTGAGTGAAATCAGATAGTATTTGTCTTTCTATGAATGACTTATTTCACTTAACATGACACACTCTAGCTCTACTCGTGTCTTTGCAGATGGTAAGATTTTCAAAAAGATTTTTTTTTAAAACTGAGTAATATTCACATATATATTCCCATTTATATTCATACTATACACACACACACACACACACACACATACACACACACACCACCACCACCACCACCACCACCACCACATCATCTTTATCCATTCATTTGTCAATGGATATTTGGGCTCTTTCCATAGTTTGGCTATTGTTGATAATGCTGCTGTAAACATCGTTGTGCATATATCTCTTCAAATCTGTATTTTTGTATCCTTTGGATAAATAACTGGTGCTGCAATTGCTACATTGTAGGGTCACTCTATTTTTACCTTTATGGGGCACCTTCATACTGTTTTCCAGAGTGGCTGCATCAGTTTGCATTCCCACCAACAGTTAAGAGGGTTCCCCTTTTCTCCAAATTCTCACCAACACCTGTTTTTTCTAGTGGTGTTAATTTTGGCCATTCTGACAGGTGTGAGATAGCATTTCATCCTGGTTTCAATTTGTATTTCCTTGATGATGAGTGAGGTTGAGCATCTTTTTATGTGTCTGTTAGCCGTTTGGATATCTTCTTTGGAAAAGTTTCTATTCATGTCTTCTGCCCATTTCTTAACTGGGTTATTTGTTTTTTGGATGTTGAGTTTGGTAAGTTCTTTATAGATTTTGGATACTAGCCCTTAAATGATAAGTCATTTTCAAATATCTTCTCCCACTGCATAAGCTGTCTTTTAGTTTTGTTGTTTCCTTCATGGTGCAGAAATTTTTATTTTGATGAAGTACCAATAGTTCATTTTTGCTTGTGTTTTCCCTTGATTCCAGGGACATGTCTAGTAAGAAGTTGGTATGACAGAGGTCAAAGTTGCTATGGAAGGTCATATGCTACCTATGTTGTCCTCTTGGATTTTGATAGTTTCCTGTTTCCATATCATGTTTTGGATTTTGATAGTGTCCTATTTCCATATCATGTTTAGGTCTTTCATCCATTTTGAATTGTTTTTGTGTATGGTGTAAGAAGGTGGTCCAGTTTCATTCTTCTGCATCTTGCTGTCCAGTTTTCCCAACACCCATTTGTCGAAGGACTGTTTGTTTTTTTTTTCCCGATTGGATATTCTTTCCCACTTTGTCAAAGATTAGTAGACCATGTACTTGTGGGTCCATTTCTGGGATTTCTATTCTGTTCCATTTATCTATTTGTCTGTTTTTGTGCCAGTACTATACTGTCTTGATGACTATAGCTTTGTAATATAGCTTGAAGTCCAGAATCATGATGCCTCCAGCTCTGCTTTTCTTTTTCAGGATTGTGTAAGCTATTCAGGGTCTTACAGATTTTAGGATTATTTGTTCTAGTTCTGTGAAAAAGGCTGGTGGTATTTTGATAAGGATTGCATTAAATGTGTAGATCACTTTGGGTAGTACAGACATTTTAACAATGTTAGTTCTCCCAACCTATGAACATGAACTGTTTTTCCATTTCTTTGTGTCCTCCCCAATTTCCTTTATACGTGTTCTAAGGTTTCAGAGCATAGAACTTTGACCTCTTTGATTAGGTTTATTCCTAGGTATCTTATTGTTCTTGGTGCAGTTGTGAATGGCATCAATTCCCTGATTTCTTTTTCTGCTGCTTCATTATTGGTATATAGAAATGCAACAGATTATTGTATGTTGATTTTATATCCTGCAACTTTGTTGAGTTCATATATTAGTTTTAGCAGTATTTTGGTGGAGTCTTTCAGATTTTCTGCATAGAGTATCATGTCATCTGCAAATAGTGAAAGTTTTGAATTCTTCTTTGACAATTTGGATGCCTTTTATTTCTTTTTGTTTTCTGATTGCTCCTCAACAAAGTTTTCTAGAAACACTTGCTTTTCTGGCTACTCAAACTGATCACCTTGGATTTTTAATACACTAGGTATTTCCTAGTCATCCACCCCACCCAATGTACTCAAATTTATAGTAAATATAATTGACAGTTTGATGATTCAGTGTTACAAAATACCGTTATTATTTTGAATTTTGATTTTATGGCATAGTAGTGCAGTTATAAAAAGGCATTTAAGAAGGAGAAATACAAACAGTAGCAATAACAAAACCTTAATTTAAAACCTCTTTATCTCTTTTAAAATTTAAATGAGCAGAAATAAAAAAACATTCCTGTTAAGTGTGAACCTTATAGATAATCTAGGTTTCTACTAGAAGGGTATGTAGAAAATGAAGTAACTCTTACATCTGTCAAGAGAACAGACTGTAAGTCATGATAGTAAGTAATGAACTATCTGATTTGCTAAAGACTGTCCATTTGTTACCCACAGTCAAGGCCAAGTGTAATTACACGTGGTAACCCTCACCTTAGGAGTCCATTACAAGTGCAATAACAGCCTATGATTCAAGTTCTCACGAAGTGTTAAACTGCCACTTGAAAGATGAAACATATTGATATTTCGAAAATATTTTGCAGGAAGAAACTGTTTGCTTAGATTCTGAGACAGATGAACATATTAACTGGTTCCAGCAAGAATATATGAAAACAGAAAAGAACTGGAAAGAAATTGATAAGAGGATGAGTCAGACTTTGGAAATAAGAAGAAAGTTGATTGGCAGCAGAACACCTCTGAAGGACGTTCTTAAAATGTTTCCTTTCCTGAAGTGCCCTTATCAGGTATCTTTATTTGCTTATAATATTCTCTAATTTTAATGTCCAAATTGATTTTTTTTCTTTTCTTTTGGAGTATAACAGCACTGTGTAGCAAATGGTGGGTGTGAATCTCAGTAGGGTGTGTGAGACTCCACAGGCTATAACTGGGACCATTTGGTAAGAACTTCTGGAAGCATATTCTAATAACATACATACACTGCCTGCCTTCAGATTTAAAGATTTCCCTGTCATTGAACATACTGGGGAGGCTGGAGGGACCACTACTTAGGGGAGTTTTGACAGTGTGAAACATTTTCCCTTTGCATACATTTAGACAATCAAGATAGTTTACTAAGGAACTGTTAGTCTGCAGCATTACCCAAAATCTATTTCCTTTATGATCCCAAATAACTTTATAAAGTGGAATATATGAAATTTAACAAATAAATCAAATACCCTTCCATTTAGTGTACTTACAGGGGCCTTTAAATGGTCCTATCACAATCTTAGTGTAATGTTAGCTGAGTACATAATGAAAGATTCGTTGACGTTTTTACCTGGGAACACATTTCATGGAAGAATTCTGTGGGCGCAATCAACTGTTTTGAAAATAAAAGTTATCCATGTTATTCGTCCTCCACAAAATGAAAAAGAACTTGCCTGCATATTTTATTTTCATAATCATGCCTATAGCAAACATCTGAGTGCTTACTACATAGGGGGCGTATTTTCAGTGCTTCACACGGATTATCTTATCTGTTTGTCTCTCAGCAACACTACCTTAGTTATTAGTTGTTTTCTCTTCATCTTTGGGTTGCTAGGAAGAGTAATAGCCAGGAGGCTTTGGCTATTTCAAGAGTACGCCAGATTGACACACTTAACAATATATTGTTTTAAAGCAAAACCTTGTCAAACTGACAGCCCATAAACTCCGTAAGTGTAAGGAGCATATTTTAAACATGTTAGTAGTTCTCCAAGTGCCTTGCAGAATATTGTGCGTGCAATACAAATGAAATATTGATTTTTTTTTTTGAATGCTGAAAGAGTTAGTGAACGGTGGGTGTCTTTGTCTGGACTGCTGTAACGAAAATATCATGGACTGGGTGGTTTATAAACAACAGAAATTTATTTCTCAATAATTCTGGGGTTGGGGTAGTCCAAGATCAAGACACTGGCGGGTTTGGTGTCTGACAGTCTGCTTTCTGGTTCATGAACAGCGCTCTCTAGCTCTCATTTCACATGGCTGAAGGGGCAGCGTAGCTATCTGGGGACTCTTTTATAAAGGCAGGAATCCCATTTGTGAAGGTTCCACCTTCATAACCCGTCCCCTCTCAAAGGCCCCACGTCTTCATTCCATCACATTGAGCATTAGGTTTAACATATGAATTCTGGGGGGACATAAACATTCAGCCCAGCATTTCACTCTTTATATCCAAAATATGGATTGGGATATGGTTTTTGTAATGACTGTGTTACTGAATGAATAAAGTTGTCTGTCTATTGTTTTAAACAAAAGAGTTGAACGTTTCCGCTTTCTTCAGGAAGTGCTTGTCTAGGCCTTAGCCAGCCAGCTGGGATTCACAATATTTATAAAACCCTTGTTGTGCTTCCTAAAATAAGAGCAAGCTCGACCTTACTTACAAACACCCAGCTAACAAACAATCCCTAGAGCAGGACAGCTGCCCCTGCTCCAAACTACTCCCACCACTTGTTGCTACTACCATTGTGAAGCCCTGTGAGCCTAGGGAGCTTGTGCGCACAGGTGTGGCGGAAGAGAAGCAGCCAGCATGGGACATTGGACTGGAGAGTTTACATGGATCCCTCATCACCGCCTGCATTCATCACCCTCCTCCCCTCAAAACACATTCTTTGAACAGAAAATCGGAATGATATTTAGGAACAAAGATTTTAGCCCTAGGTATACTCATAGCTACAGAGGTATTATTGCTCTACAATTTCTCACAGAACAAAGCCAGGATATATACCTTTGCATAGGTGTACATGTGTGCACGCACACACACACACACATACACACACACAAAATCTGTATCTGTTCATATATCCATATAGCCATGAAGTTGCATTTATACCTTCAAGTCCAACCCAAACCAGAGGGCTTATTCTAATTGACTCTTTCTCCATACTTTCTGACTCTCTTTAACAGCACCCACTGGCACCCATTATCCTCAATGTATTTACTTATTTGTGTCACCTTCCCCAAACCTCATACAGCCAAACTCCTGGTCATGAATGATCAGCCACAGAAAGGCTCCTTTCTCCACACTCCATGTTTTGTCTCACAGGTTACTAATCTTAATCCTCTTTTTTTCTTGTTATTCAGAATAATTTCTATTGCTCTATCTTCAAGTTCATGAAACTTTTCTTTCTTTTCCCATATGCATTTCCCTATTTGGTGATGTTTTCATTTCAGTAAATGTTATTTTCAAATTGAATTTCAATTTGATTTTTTACATATATATGTATATACCCCATTTCTCTGTTGAGATGCCCCACAGTGATGATACATGGAGTTCACTGGACTTACCATGTTCCCTACTAACCTCGATTAGTGGTCCACTGAAGGTTGCCTAATAAGAGAGCCACCATGCCTTTATGAGAATGTGCATTCCAGTTTTCTGATAACTACTTTTGGACCTAGTCTTTGGGCAACTGATGATCTACCAAAATGTTCAAGAAATGATGAGACCACATGGGTAGTATGTAACTCTTCTTTACAGAGTTTTAGGGAAAGCGATGAGTACTTTGATTCCTACCAGTGTGAGTGGTGATGAATTGTCTTATAAAGCCACTCTTAAAAAAAAAAAAAAAAGTGGGGTGGGGCACCTGGGTGGCTCAGTGGGTTAAAGCCTCTGCCTTCAGCTCAGGTCATGATGCTAGGGTCCTGGGATCGAGCCCCACATCAGGCTCTCTGCTCAGTGGGGAGCCTGCTTCCCTTCCTCTCTCTCTGCCTGTCTCTCTGCCTACTTGTGATCTCTGTCTGTCAAATAAATAAATAAAAATCTTAAAAAAAAAAAGTGGGGAGAAAGGCAAGGGAAACAAAGGCAAAAATGAACTATTGGGACTTCATCAAGATAAAAAGGTTTTGCACAGCAAAGGAAAGTTGACAAAACCAAAAAGCAACTGATAGAATGAGAGAAGATCTTTGCAAATGACATATCAGATAAAGGGCTAGTATCCAAAATCTATAAAGAACTTACCAAACTCAACACCCAAGGAACAAATAATCCATTTAAGAAATGGGCAGAAGACATGAACAGACATTTCTCCAAAGATGTACAAATGACCAACAGACACATGAATAAGTGCTCCATATCGCTCAGCATCAGGGAAATAAAAATCAAAACCACAGTGAAAGACCACCTCACTAGTCAGAATGGCTAAAATTAACAAGTCAGGAAATGACAGATGTTGGCAAGGATGTGGAGAAAGGGGAACCCTCTTACACTGTTGGTGGGAATGCATGCTGGTGCAGCCACTCTGGAAAACAGTATGGAGTTTCCTCAAAAAGTTGAAAATAGAGTTATTCTATGACCCAGTAATTGCACTACTGGGTATTTACCCCAAAGATACAAATGTAGTGATCTGAAGGGGCACTTGCACCCCAGTGTTTATAGCAGCAATGTCCACGATAGCCAAACAATGGAAAGAGCCCAGATGTCCAACAGATGAACAGATAAAGAAGATGTG